TTGTTTTTTGGCGAGGCAATTGGGGTTGAGTGACTTGTCCAGATTCACACAGCTAGTAAGTGTTATGTGTCTGAGGCCCGATTTCAACTCAGGTCCTCCTGATTCCAGGGCCAGTGCTCTATCCACTTGCAATCAGTTTGGGAGGGATGTTTATACTACTGTTTTTACTATATCTTTTCAGTAAATATCCCAGTGTAAAAAATAATCGATGCTAATTGCTTATTGATGATGTTGAGGAGATATCAACTGGTTAAACTGATAGTGGGGTATTAAGCATTGAATCCATGTTACTGAGGAGATATATGTGATTGATATTGAGGGAAACATAACAGAATGGGAACATAAACAGATAGTATTTGAAAGAATACCCCTAGAACCCTGAGCAGAAGTGGTGCAGTAGATACAGCACTGGGCCTGAAATCAGGGAAACCTGAGTTCAAATTCCACCTCAAATATTTACTAGCTGTGTGATTGTGGGGCAAGTCACTTAGCCTCTATTTGCCTCAGTTTCCTCAACTGTAAAATGGAGTTAATAGCAGTACCTTTCAGGGTTGCTGATAGGATAAAATGAAATAATATTTGTAAAAGTGCTTAGCATAGCACCTGACACATAGTAGGTGCTACGTAAATGCTTATTCCCTTCCACTTCCCTTCCATTCTTCTTAGGTGACCAGGAAGCTGTGTCAAGGGAGGCAGAAGCCAATAAAGTCCAAGAGACAATTTTGCTGCTTTTTAGGGAAAACGAATTCCTATTGATGTGGGGGTGGGGTGAGTGGGGAACCCTATCCCTATCATAGGGAGGAATGTAGAATAAGTTAAGAAATATATTTTGTAGTTGCTTTGTTATAAGCATAGATTTATAGCTAATTGGACAAAACAGAATCCTAATGAATGAAGAGATGGTAGGATTATTTGCATTGCCCAGATTGTCAACCTGAGTTTTTCTGTAAGCCTTGTTTTGCTATAACAAGATATGGAGAGCTGAATGGATGATTCAGAACCCTGTTGGGTTGAGAGCTGGTCGGGCTTATCTGAATTTCTTAGAGGGGCAATCAGAAGAGCTTTGAAGCTCTCTAGTTTTAGGAAATTCCTTTTAAAACTTGTCACTATAATAGCATAGTATTTTTTCAGTATCCCTTTAAGGGTAGTTGTGAGTTAAAAAAGCTTATGTTTACTTCATCAGTTCCAGAGCAGGAGTGGATTTGCCCAGACCATCAGGAGAGCAGTGAGGAGAAAGAGAAGAGCTAGTAGAAAAGCAGATTTTTATGGTGTAGATTATTCTTGAAGGGATCAAGGACATCAAAGCTGTAGTTTAGTTTTGTGAATTGTCCTGACCATAGAGGTTTACCTCACTCATTCATCTCCCTGCTAGGTTTTTAAAGTATGAACCTGTTCTCTCTCACAGACACTCTGTATATTGGTGGGAGAGTGTGCTAGAGTCCTATGCGTAGACTATGATGTATTTATTATTACTGTATTTACTTTATATTGATTATAATATTATGATTAGTTTGCCTTCTTTAAGTTACTGACTCTAGGAACTGAGGTAATGGAGGGGAAGACATACATCCAGTTTGGGAGAGATGTTTATACTATATCTTACTGTACTACATGCTTACTGTATACTATACTATATATTATATCTGTTTTTACTATATCTTTGTGGTTAAATAAATTTTATATCCTTATGGTTAAATGCATTTTTATGTTTAAGAGCTAATGTTTTCATCGTGGCTGATTTTGTATCAATAGGAAACATACTGGTAGGTGTTCGGGAACTACAGTGTCAGGTAGTCAGAGTGATTGCCCTACCAAATGGATCTACCTCTAGGACCCTGAGAGAGTTTGAAAAAAGTGACATTTGAGCTGAATCTCAAAAAGAATCAGAAATTCTAAGAGGTATAGTTGAGGAAGGAAAGCATTCCGGAAATGGTGGAAAGCTAGTACAAAGGAATTGTGATAGGAAATGGGAGTGTTGCATGTGAGGAGCAGCAAGGAGGCTAATCTGGCCAGGTGATAGATTGAATAGAAGGGAGTGAGAAGCATGAACAGGAGTGTGTAACAAGATGGAAAGATACAAAGGTTCAGAAGCCAGGTTCTGAACAGCTTTGAATGCCAAACAGAGGAGTTTTTATTTGATCTTATCATGGTTAGGCCTCTGCTTTAGGAATATCACTTTGGTAGCTAGGTAGAAGATGGATTGAAAAGAGGAGAAACTTAAGGCAGGGAGACCAATTAGTTGGCTACTGCAGTAGATCAAGGAAGAGGCAATCAGTGCCTGAACTAGGGTGATGGCTATATTGATAGAGGGAAAGGGATAGGCATAAGCTGTTGTGGAGACTGAATAAATGAGACTTGTCAACTGATTGACTACGTGGGGTGAGGATGACTTGGAGATTGCAGACTTAGGTGATTGGAAAGATGGTGGTGCCCTCAACAGAAACTGGGAAGTCCAGAAGAGAAGTTTTGAGAGAAAGATAATGAGTTCTGTCTTGAACATTTATAATTTGAGATGCCTACAGATCATCCAGTTAAATATTTCCAAACCAGTTGGTGATATGGAACTAGATCTCAGGAGAGAGACTAGGGCTTCCACATAGATACCAGAGTCATCTGCATAGAAATGATAATTAAACCCAAGGGAACTGATGAGTAGTCCTACAAGGGTCCTAGAAGTCTTCATCTCCTACAAGAATAAAAGAGATGATGCTTAAAACGTGTTTCTGTATCAGTTTATGGGTTCCTGTGAGTCCTTTGTGACAGGTTACTGTATCATGTTTTAAGTACTTGTCAGTGTCTGCTTTTGAGTCTTTTGTGTCTTAAGCATTTGTTTTGTGGTGGAGGAAATAAATATATGTGCTGTATCTGATTTACTTCTTACACTGAGTACCTTTCTAGAAGGGGCCTTGTTAATCCCTTCTGGGGAGATCCTAGATGTGAACTTTGCTTAGGAACTTTTCCCCAGAGTTCTCTTCTCAGGTATGGGTATAATGAGCCAGTAGTTAAGTTCAAGAAAAAAGCCTGAACTCTGTCATTTTGGGGTCAGACTCCCTCAGGAAATAAACCTGCTCTTCTTGATGAGAAGTGGGGTGCCCTTATGCCAAACTGTATGGATCTCTAGAACAAAAATGTGCAACAAAGCTGTCAAAATGATTATAGCCAATATATGTTTTAGAGGATGAAAAGGTAAACAAATTCTATGAAAAATGGAAAACACTTTCTGAGTTGATTCAATATAATTTAATACTCAGTAACTTCAATAAAAATGTGACAGAGGAGGACTGCAATAAATGTGTTTGAAAACATGGTTCAGGAGTTAGAGAGAGGGCAGATACATGTAGACTAAATAGAGACTTTACACCCACATATGATGAATATAACTTTCTTCAAGAGAGTCAGGAGATATTAGACATGGTAAGTATCAAAAGCACACAACAAAATGAAATTGATTTTATTTTTATAGCTGGGAGATGATTGGGTGTAGACGTGAGAGTCAATTGGCTGTCTATGTATAGTTAAAGCACCAACTTATTAAAACAAAGATCAAAATCAATACCAATCTAGAAGAAACAATAAAAATTCAGAGAAGATAGGGCATTCATTTGAGGCAACTCCAACTTGATCTATTTAAACAAGCTGTTGATGCTGAAAAATAGGAAATGGATAAAATAATATTATTTCTTAGGGAAGTTTTAACTGATGTAAATTAATTGCCCCAATGAGAAAATCAAGCAGATGCCTTGATTTCCTTACCAAGCAATGAAATATGGCAGCCAAGGATAACACTGGTTTAGAATGTTTAAACTCATTTGTATAATCTTACAGAGAAGAGTGGTAGATAGCAAGAATCAGTGGAGGGAAAAACAATTTTAGGGAAAGCTGAGATCATTTAAAGATGAAACTGGAAAGAGCATAAGAGATAGGAAAAATAGAAAAAAAATCCATAAAGGTGGTTTTGCTTTTTTTTAAACCACAGATTCCTTTCTATCAATGACAATAAAATCACTGCATTTGGGCTCAGCACCATAGTCCCTAGTGAGGAAGACAAAAGGGGAAAGAGCTCTGCTGGTATAGATACAGGGGAGGTCCATGCTGGAGGTGTCAGTTTTGAGAGTATTAAGGTATTTATCCTCAAGAAATCTGAAAGAGGAGAGACTATCAAGCGCTTGGGGGGGAAACATGGACCTATTTATTATAAGCCCTTAGCCAAAAAAAAAAAAGATGAGTGACAGATCATCCATAGCCAACAATCCAAATGTCTTTTTTCCTATCTGTATAAAATCTTTACGGAAATAGTTTACGCATGAATCAAGCACATCTTTCTTTCTTTTCTAAAAAAATTAATTTATTTTTAGTTTTCAACATTCACGTCTATAATTTTGAGTTCTAAATTTTCTTACCCTCCCACCCTCCCCCCAGATGGCATGCAACATAATATAGGACATATATGTACATTCATATTAAACTTACTTCCACATTAGTCATGGTTTTTTTTCCTTTTGGTGAGGCAATTAGTCATATTGTAAAGAAGAATTAGAACCAAAGGGAAAAACCATGAGATAGAAGTAACAAAAACAAAAACAAAAAAAAAGAGAGAAAATAGTATGCTTCAATCTACGTTCAGACTCCATATCTCTTTCTCTGGACGAGGATACCATTTTCCATCTTTTGGAATTTTTAAAAAATATACACGTACATACATATATACATACGTGTGTGTATATATATATGTATGTATATCTATATCTATTGCTTTTTTGGTGAGGCAATCAAGGTTAAGTGACTTGCCCAGGGTCACACAGCTAGTATCAAGTGTCTGAGGCCTGGATTTCAACCCAGGTCCTCCTGACTCCAAGGCCAGAGCTCTATCCACTGTGCCACCTAGCTGCTCCTGGAATTTTCTTAGATCCTTCCATTGCTGAGAAGAGCTAAGTCTATCAAAGTGGGTGTTGCTGTTACTGTGTACAATGTCCTCGTAGTTCCGCTTACTTCACTCAGCATCAGTTCATGTTAAGTCTTTCCAGGTTTTTCTGAAGTCCACCTGCTTATAGCACAATAGTATTCCATTACATTCATATACCACAACTTGTTCAGCCATTCTTCAATTGATGGGCATCCCCTCAATTTCCCAATTCTTTGCCAACACAAAAAGAGCTGCTATAAATATTTTTATACATGTGGGTCCTTTTCCCATTTTTATGATCTCTTTGGGATACAGACCTATAAGTGGTATTGCTGGGTCAAAGGGTATGTACAGTTTTATAGCCTTTGGGCATAGTTCCAAATTGTTCTCCAAAATGGTTGGATCATTGATTACTGTAGTGATTAAAGTATTGATTACTTGTGTCTATATCATAGTCCCTTAACTCTTACCTTCATCACAATTAAATCCAATGTTGTGACAAAAAAAACAATCAGAAACATTTAGCATGGGGACAATATCTGGCAATGCATATAATATTATGTCCTTATTGTTCCCTAGTTTTTGGCTGTCAGGGAAAGGGGAATGTTTTATTTTCCAGTCTCTGGTACTTTCATAGTCATGTTATCCTCCCCTTCAGAATGAACTCTCCTTTGTGACAAAGAAAAACAAATAAGCAATAACATCCGATACGACATTGTATCTGACAGTTTATACAATATTCTATCATAGTAGGCCCCCACTGCTTTACCATGATGGGAGGGGTATGCTTCTTTCATTATCTTTTCTCTGAAACATTCATGACTTGTCCATTATTCAGAGTTGAGTTCAATTTCCTTTAGTTTCTTTTAGTTATTCTCCATGCTCACATTTTAACAGCACAGTATTTTTTTTTAAAGGTCCAAAGAAGAGAAATATTGAGGAAGAGAAAGGGGTTGCCATCAACATGAATTGAACAATTAAAAAATAGATTCTCATTTGGTTTTCTAAAAGCGGAATTAGACTGAAGCAACTGTGAAGTCTCACCTGCTTACACAAGGGTTAGGGCAAAGAGTTCTTTGTAGTCTTAACTCATGGCTAGGCTTCATGGATAGTGGGCATATACCCACTTCTCTATACATTAAAAGTTCCTTAACCATGAGACTTTTCATCTACATTGTTTTACTTATTGCATATATTGTTTCCTTACTTCTGCTTATTTCTCCCTGAACCCATTCCTACAAATCTTCCCAGAGAGAGAGAAAGAGAAAGAAGAGGACATGGAAGTAACTAACATAGCTTTCTCAAAAAGTTTAACCAAGAAATTCAGAAGATTTATGGATAAAGCTAACAGGGCTGGTAGAAGGTCGTTCTTGTTCTAAGGATAGAGGAACATGGATGTATAGCAGGGTGGGGGGCCAACACATAGAAAGATAAGAAAGATAAAGGGGGGGTCCCGGTAGTTGGAACAATCTGTACTGTACTAGGCACTGGGGATACAGAGGCATAAATGAAATATCTAGGGCAAACCTGTGGCCTCAAGGCCACATGTAGCCTTCTAGGTCCTTGGGTATGGCCTTTTGACTGAATCCAAGTTTTACAGAACAAATCCTTTCATTAAGGGGATTTGTTCTGTCAAGTTTAGAATCAGTTGAAGGGCTGCACTTGAGGACCTGGAGGGCCTCATGTGGCCTTGAGGCTGCAGGTTCCCCACCCCAGAAATTATCTGTTTCAAGGAGCTTACATTCTGTATGGTGGAAACAGCACATATACCAATAAGGAAGGCAGCAGAATGCACTACAAAAAGCGCTGGATTTGGAGTTAGAGGACATAGGTTTGAATCCCAACTCTCCCACTTGTTACTTGCAGTCTTAGGAAAGTCACTGGACTTTCCTGTTTCCTGATCTGTGAAATGAGGGGGATGGACCACATGACCTCTAAGTACTCTTTTTAGATCTAAATCTATTATCTAAATAATACTATCTTTGAAATAGAAATGAATCAATACATTTATATTTTTATATCCTATGCCTAGAATATATTTCCTTCTCACTTCTGCCTTATAAAAGCCTTTATTTTCTCCTCCTTTAAGATGGCTCAAACACCATTTTCTAGGTGAAGACTTTCCTAATCCTCCCTACGGCTAATGCTTTCCTGGCTCAGAGAAGGCACTTAAATTGTGCAGTTGACTGAATCATCTTTTTCTCTCTCCCAGCATCTAGCAGAATGTAAGAGGCACTTCATAATGTGAGTTGAATTGAACTGGATCACTAGCATCATATTCAATCATTTATATGAACTGAAGACTGTACTGTGGTGAAACCAAAAGTGAGGCAAAGAAAAGAACAGGATAGCAGGAGATGGACACATCAATGGTGATTCCAAAAGGGTCTTCTGGTCATTTTCAGAAGTTTTGAGGCAAGGGTATGACGGTAAATATTTAACCACTTATACTCCCCCCTCCCCACCCCCTACTCCCACCCTGTATTCACATGTTTAATCTGTTGTTCACATTTTCTCCATCACTTTCTTCAGTATGATCAGTGAACAAAACATTAAGTCAAGCCCGATTTGTAGCATTTGCCTATTTCTGAGGTATAAATGCTCACACTGAAAATTTAACAGTCAGCTCTCCTGAGCCCTTATGAGCTGGCTTTAGCACACCCTTATTTTCATAACTCATGATGGATTCATTTTCCTTGTTATAGGTCCAGCAATACTGTTATGCTCATCAGTCATAATCTGTGCCATTTCAACTCACAGAAGGAACAAAGGGGCCATGCTTTCATTGGACAATGAATTTTTTTCCATCTCAATAAAGCAAAATTTATTTGTGTCTTGGATCCTTTTTTTTTTTACTTTTTGGTCTCAAGTCTGTCTGAGTGATTTCTCTTTTTGATGCTCTCAGTGGCTGATGCTGGCAGCCCTGAATTAAGTCTTATTGTAATTGAAAGACAATTGGAAATTGAAGAGGAAGAGAGAAGGCAGGTCCAGTGGGTTATTTGTGGTGTGTATGGACAAACTGATAGCTTTGGCAAAGGTTTGGAAATAGGAAGGCACTGGATGAAAGTAAGAGATAGAGACCTGCTTTGTGGGAGCATGCTAGATGATGCTCCATAGCCTAAAAAGAATTCTAGAAGACTGAAATGGCTATCTAATTACTTAACAGTAATTCTATCATAAAAGGAAAGACATTTTTCTGCTTATACTTATTTTTTTATTGGGCAGAATTCAAAAGATGTCATTCATTTCCAGCTGATAAGAATGTATTAGACAAAACTGTAACATTGAAAACTATGAAAAAGTAGCTTACAGTGTGTTGTTTTTGGAAAACGTACTACCCTCACTGTGTTTGTCCTCTCAGATTTCTCTTCCTTTTCCTTTTCCTTCCTAATTCTATGTCACATTCTGTGATGTATGGAAAGGAAGAGAAAAGGGCTCTTGTATGGGAATATCTATTCGTTCGGGCATCATACAACTTTAAGTCTTTAGTTGAAAGTAACTCTTGGCAAACATTCCAGGACCATGTGTAAGTAGAGAAGGTATCATAAAAGGACTCATTTCCACTTTCTAGCCCAATCAGATCACCTCGAATTTTGCGCCAGAAGTTGAGCATGTCTTTCCGGTGCCCAAGGGCAACTCCCAGATGGTATGCATCAGTAGCTCTTTTTACCTGTGAAAGGAGTGGTCAGACATTGGAAATGAATACTTTGAAAGAGAGACAGATAGGGATAGGGACAGCATTCAGTATCTTGAAATACCAGCTGTAATGTGAAATATATCAGTAAAGGAAATTTGTAGACTCTCAGACTAAAAAAGCTAGGAGTGACTTTAAATACTAAACCTGCCATTTTACAGATAAGGAGATTGAGGCCTCCAGAAAATTATTTGTCTAGGGTCACATGAGGTTAATGGAAGAGCTAGGGCTTAAACCAATGTATGAGCTAATTTTAAGCACCTTTTCAGTTCTCTCCACTGCCTCTTGGGATCATATTCTCAAGCCAGTCCTATTGGCTAATGCCAGTGAGTTTATCCATTAATTTTTTTAACTTTTAAACTTTATTTTTATTTATTTTATTTTAATTTACTTTATTCTTAACATTAAAAAAGGATATTTCTATTCATATAGCAGAACACACAAAAAGAATTCTATATGAAATTCATATATTCTATATGAAACTTCTATAGGTGAATCTTCATTTCCTACTGTTTGCTTCTTTTAAAAAAAGTATGTATCAAAAATTTTACACATTACTTTCAAAACTGTTCTGCTTGCCTGTGCTTTCTTCTGGAGTTTATCCATTTAGTCAAAGCCTCTTTTTAAGGGTGGTAATGGAGCCATGACCCAACAGTCTATGTGGTGGGTTGTTGGAACATAATCTTTCATTGAATAATATCTATTTTTTTATATCAAACATTTATAAATTTATTTTTAGTTTTCAACATTCACTTCCACAAGATTGTGAGTTCCAAATTTTCTTCCCATCTTGCCCCTCCCCCCCGCCATGATGACATGCATTCTGAATACCCCTTTCCCTAACCTGCCCTCCCTTCTATCACTGCCCCACTCTCTTATCCCCTTCCCCTTCTATTTTCCTGTAGGGCAGGACAGATTTTTATAACCACTGCCTGTATATCTTACTTCCCAGTTGCATGTGAAAACAATTTTTAACATTTGTTCTTAAAACTTTGGGTTCCAAATTTTCTCCCTCCCTCCCTACCCACCCTCACTGAGAAGGCAAGCAACTTGATACAGGTTATTACCCCCTCCCTTGATCTGCCCTCCCTTCTATCATCTCCCTGCTCTCTTATTCCCTTCCCCCCTATTTTCCTGTAGGGTAAGATAGATTTCCATACCCAATTGAGTGTGTATGTTATTCCCTCCTTAAGCCAATTCCGATGTGAATAAGATTCACTCATTCCCACTCACCTCCCCCCACTTCCCCTCCACTGTAAAAGCTTTTTCTTGTCTGTTTTAAGTGAGATAATTTACCCCATTCTACTTCTCCCTTTTTCCTTCTCCCAGTATAATCCTCTCTTGTCCCTTAATTTTATTTTTTAGATATCACCCTTTCATCTTCAACTTACCCTGTGCCATCTATCTATCTATCTATCTATCTATCTATCTATCTATCTATCTATCTATCTATCCATCCATCCATATAATTTTTTTCCCTCCAACTGCCCTAATATTGACAAAGGTCTCATGAGTTACAAATATCTTTCCATGTAGGAATGTAAACAGTTCAACTTTAATAAGTCCCTTATGATTTCTCTTCCTGTTTATTGAACAATATCTATTCTTTAAGATAGCTCCAATTGCATTTTCTCAGTGAAGGCTTTCATGACCCACTCCAGCCACAGGCTCCTCTGAACTTTTAAAAATAGCACCAATTTTCCACACCATTCATATGGCACTGATCATAGATTGTCTTCCACTGTTAGCAAAGTTTATACATGTATGTTTTCAATTAGAAATCCACAGAAACAAGGACTATGTCTAGTCTCTGCTAGCTGGCACAGTAAATAGACTCTGAGCCTAGAGTCAGGAAATCCTGAGTTCAAATGTGGCCTCAGACATTCACTAGCTGTGTGACTCTGGGTAAATCACTTAACTGCAGTCACCCTCAGTTTCCTCAACTGTAAAATGAGGATCATAATATCATCTCCCTTCCAGTGTTATCGTGAGGATCAAATGAGATATTGTTTGTAAAACTCTCAGCACCAGGCTTGGAACAGAGTAGGCACTTAATAAATGCTTGTTTCCTTTTCCCCTTATACTTTGTACCTCCCATCCATAGCCCATACAGTATAGCTGATGCTCAGTAATATTTGGCCAAGTAATAGAAAGAAGCATATGTGCCCACATGGTGAAAATATTTTATCCCAAGTTTAGAAGGTGGGACTGGAGAGCATTGGTGCTGTTTTTCTCTCTGGGCAGTGTGTGTGTGTGTGTGTGTGTGTGTGTGTGTGTGTGTGTGTGTGTGTGTGTGTGTGTGTGTTTACCTACATGTGCATGTAGGTAAATGCATAGGGTTGGGAGAAGGAGGGAGGGCAATCTTCTGAGAGAAAATGCACAGAAAACCTCCAGAGGAGAGCAGTAAGTCTCCTATCCTCATTCCCAGTTGGTTTCTGAGATGCAGAAAGCTGCATTTCAGATATTTCTGTAGCGGCTTGGGCACAGGGCACCAGATTTCCTGAGTATGCAAGAAGATAAGCACACTTGAATAATTATAATAAACATGACTGGTTCTGTAGAAGAGTTGAGAAAACGTATTTCCATTGCAGAGGTGGACATTATGTAGATGGAGTATCACATACATTGTCAGACATAGCTGATGTGTTGTATAGTTTTGCTGAACAGCTTTGTTTTCTTCCTTTTAAAATCCCTATACAGGGGAAGGGGAGAGATACATCTAGAAATAAATATAGCATTAAAACTAAAGGCCTCAACAATAAGTTTAAAATTCTTTTTTTTTAATTTAAAATTCTTTAAAAAAAAGAGAAGTTAAAAGTGATAATTTACTAGAAGGGTAACACTTCAAACCAGGAGCAGCTAGCCCTCAGAAAGTCCTAGATTTCAGTCATTATCATACTGGTTTTACACTAGTAATTGGCAAGTGAAAAAACTCTACAGTAATAGTTTGTTGCTGTTGTTTTCCTTTTTTTTTTAAAAGGCAATTGGGGTTAAGTGACTTGCCCAGGGTCACACAGCTAGTTAAGTGTCAAGTGTTTGGTCTGATGGCAGATTTGAACTCAGGTCCTCCTGACTTCAGGGCCAGTGCTCTATCCACTCCGCCACCTAGCTGCCCCTGGTGCTGTTGTTAGTTGCTTCAGTGGTGTTGAACTTTGTGAGCCCATTTGAGGTTTTCTTGGTAAAGATCATGGAGTGGTTTTGCCATTTTCTTCTCCAGCTCATTTTATAGATGAGGAAAATGAGGCAAGGGTTAGGTGACTTTTCCAGGGTCACACAACTAGTCAGTGTCTGAAGTCATCATCTTCCTGACTCTAGGCCCCAGCACTCTTATCTACTGTACCACCTAGCTGCCCCTACAATAATAGTAGCCTATAGCTAATTTTTTCCTATAACAAGAAGCATTTACATAGTTTACTCATAGTAGGGGACTAAACTGAGAGAACTAGTCCTTTCTTTTCCACTGGTATGAATCAGAAATAATCCTGGGGGGCTTCAGAGGCAGTATTTAAAAGTAAGGAAATTTTTCAGTGCTTGCTTATCTGGAGATAAGATAGCTTTCCTTACCGGTTTTTGTAAGCAGGCTGCTTCAGCTACGTTCCACTGCCGCTTTTTCTTGATCATGTGATCAACACTGATAATCTCTTCTGGCCAGTTTGAATTTTCTAAAGGTTTAAAGGGTGCAGCCTTTATTTAAAAATAAACAAATAAATAAGCAGAGTACATAAATTAGTGAGCAAAATTACAACCCTGTGCTACAATAAAAGGAAAATAGATCTTCCCTTTTCCTTTATCTTTTTTTAAAGACCTAATATTGTCGCTAAGCACATACAGCCAATTAGTTCTCAGTGCCCAGAGGGGTACTCATAGGATCATAGACTGTAGAGCTGGAGACATTAAGAGTTCAACCCTTTCATTTTACAAATGAGGAAACTGAGGCACAGAGAGGTTAAATGACTTGCTAAGGGTCACATAGCTTATAGTTGTCTGAGGCAGGATTTGAGTCCAAGATTTCCTGATTTCAAGTCCAGGGCCCTAATTCACTATGACATGCTTCCTCTAAATCTTCTTCAATAACCATGAAGGAGAATTATATACACAGATACATGTAAACTTTACTTTCACATCCACATACATTTCACCATTAGTCATCATATACGTTTTATATATATATATGGACATACACATGTAAATATATACACATATATATATCTATATACACATACTGCACACACACACACACATACATATATATGTATGTGTACACACACACATATTTAGCCATACTGATGCTGGGCAACTCACTGAAGCACTCTCTGCCTCATTTTCCTCATCTGTAAAATGGGGATGATAATAATAGCACCTACCTTCCAGGGTTGTTGTGAAGATTAAATGAGAGAATATTTTCAATAATACATAATTTACATTTGTAAAGTGCTTACTTGGTATTCTTGAGAATGAAGGACGTGTAATAACAAGAACAAAATTACAATAAATCCTCCCTCCCTTCCTTTTTTCCTTCCATTCTTCCCTCCCTCCCTCTATCCTTCTTTCCATTCTTCCTTCCTTTCTTCCATTCATCTGTCTCCAGAGAGTCTGGGTTTGCCTGGGTTTGGGGGTTGAATGTAAGCAGTGAGATAAGTGTGGTATGAAGGAGAGGAAAAGAGTTTGTGCTCAATCCTAGGCATTCCAAATTTCCCAGCTTTCTTGGGTTCTCTTTAATTTCCCTTCCGAGGCCTTATTTGTTTCTCTTAAAGGAAGTGAGGCAGCACAGTGGATAGAGGGGTGGATGAGGAGTCTGGAAAATGATGCTAAATCCTGCCTTAGACACTGCCTAGCTCTGTGAGTCATTTAAACTCTTTTAGTTTCAGTCTCCTCATCTGGTAATGAGAGAGTTAGACTTGATGATCTCTAAGATCCTTTCCAAAATTTATGATCCTTACATTTCTGTGTGGTAGAAGTTTATTTGTTTTTTAGAAAAAAAAATACACTGTCTAAACAAATCAGTGTTGTTGTCATTGTTGTTATTGTTGACTTGTTTCAGTTGTGTCCGACTCTTCATGACCCCATTTGGGTTTTTTTTGGCAAAGATACTGGAGTGGTTTGCCATTTCCTTCTCCAGCTCATTTTACAGATGAGGAAACTGGGGCAAACAGGGTTAAGTGACTTGCCCAGGGTCACATAGTTAGTGTCTGAGGCCAGGAATATTAGTCTTCTTGACTTCAGGCCCAACACTCTATCCATTGAACCACTTAGTTGCCCTGTATATGCCTGTATAAATGTTTCTCTTTCAAAGTTAACTTTTTTTTAGGGGTTTGAACTATATTCAGTCCTGATTGCCTTCCAGAATTGTTGTGGTGGTGGTTATAAATGAATGAATGAAATGAATGAAATAGTGGGTATGAAAGCAAGAATTTAATAAATTAAATAAATTGTAAAGGGTTATACAAAAATGTGAGCTATTGTTTTATTATTTTATTTTAATGATGTGAAAGTAGATAGGGAATCAACCTTGGCATCAGGAAGACCTGGATTCGAGTCCTGCCTTTGACAGATGTTGGCTAAGTAACCTAGGTAAACCAATTCACTTGTCTAAGCACCAGGCAACTTTCCAGATTGTAAGTTGCAGAGCAGATGCAGATTGGCATTGGCAGAGGAAAACCACAGGCAGAGGTAAATAGATTTAGTGAAAAAAAAACCTGTTCTATATTGTCTACAGACAACCAGAGTATTTCTATCTAAGCCAAAATTTAGACATGTCCCATTTTGGTCCAGATATTTGTCATGAGAAGTCCTAACATCTAACATTAGTCCTCAATTCTACTGTACTTTTAACTTAATTGATGTGATAAAACCTTTCTCTCACCTGTGCCTTCCAGTTTCTTTTATGGAAAAAATAGTCTTCGAAGAAATGTAAAGGCTCTCTTTTCCTCAGCACCCCCAACCTTTGTAACTCTTTGAATGGCTTTCCCACAACTGTCCCATCCATATTTGGAAACAGTGGGAAGATGGGTATTTTAGCATACGGGCTGTCAGAGGCGGGACTGCATCCTAACAAATGTAAGGAGATTAGTATGGATCACCAAAGGCAAAGAATAACCACATCAAACAGACCTTATAGGCACCACTTCCCTCCTCCCCCATATGGCAGGAAGACCCAGTGTCTACTACATTCTTCTGGTACTCTATAATCTAGGTCTCCTTCCAGGGGTATTAAGATTGCAAGTCAAGGTCACGTCATTGTAAGCCACGTGATGTCAGAGGACTCTCTGAGTGGAAGAGGCCTGCCATTGGGTTTGGCTTGGGGCCTACTGTTTATGAATCTGAACATTAGGACAAATTCTTTCCTTAACTCTTGGTTAAGAACAGGTGACCTATCTTACTCTTGAGCTCTTCCAGGAATTTCAACAAATCCTTCTCGCCCATTATTGCAATGCGGGAGGCATCAGCAAAGGCAGCTGTGCTGGTTCCCTGTCCGGTAACTGACACCCTCTTGGACTTGCGCCTCTTTTTTCCACCAGCATCGTAGCACCTCCACAGTGGCCTGCTGGCAGCCTCATTATATTTTTTGCGGTAATAACTGAAACACAGAAGATAATTCAGGAAGGATTCTAAAAAGAGGGGCAGTGGTTCAGCTGTAAAAATAGCTAAGTTGTTGATTTAAGAATATTAGGTGCCATGTTGTAATTTATTTTACACTTAATGTTTGTTGAATAGAGTTGAACTGAATTTGCTAATCAATTTATACAGAATAAACACAAAACCTCATCTAGTCTTCTTATTTATTTCCTTGCCTCCAAAGTCCTTAGCCCTTGCCCTTACATCTTAGCTTCTCTCCTCCCTTGCAACAACATCTTAGTCATGTTGAAAATTATTGGTTGGGCTCTCCTTAGTTCCATTGTGGTTCAGTGAGTGTAACAGAGCATCCTCATTATCAACAAACCATTAGTGATCACCAGTGGGGTCCATGGTACTGTCCTGGATATTTAGGTATATATGCTAATGAAGGAAAAGTACAATCATAGAGTTATAGATTCAGAGCAGGAAGGGACTTCAGGGACCATCTGGTTCAACCCCTTTAATTTACAGATGAGGCACAGGAAGGTTAACTGACAATATCATATGGGTAGAAAGTATCACAGGCAGAGTTTTGAATACAGATCCTTTGATTTGAAAGCCAATGCTCTTTCCACTGTAATACCTACCTTGCCTCTCTCACTTTCCTCTCTTCAAAATCTTGTTTCTATAGTTAGCCAGTTCAACTTTATGCTGTTCTCTGCCTTGTATTCTCTTCCCTCTACAGCTTATCATTACTTATCCTTTTCTAAACCCCAATCTGGTTTACTCCTGTTATCAGCCTTATCTGCTGCTGAACAGTCTTGGAGGAAGTACCTGCTGCACATCTTCGCCTGAATGTTCCAAAGGCATCTCAAGCTAAACATGTTTAAAATAGAACTCATCGTCTTTTTTGCCAAATCCTTTCCCTTCCTAATTTTACTAGATCTGCTGGTGACCTCACCATTCTTCCAGTTACCTACGTTTGCAATCTCTGAGTTATTCACTACTCTTCCTTTCTCCCCAAATCTAATCAGATGCCAAATCTTGTCGTTTTTATCTCCCTCATGTCTCTTGCTTTTCCCTCTTTCTCTCATTCATACAATTGACACATTAGTTCAGGTTCTTATCACTTCTCACTTAGATCACTGCCTAATTGGCTTCAAGTTTCTCCCCTCTCAATCCATCCTTCAATATTTTACTAAAGCACTGTTCTATGTTACTTCCTTCCCCAAGAAACTTCGGGGGACCCTTATTGCATATGGCCTAAAATACAAACTCTTCTTTATGGCATAAAGCACTTCATGTTTTAGCTCCTACTTGTCTTTCCAGATTTCACACTACTCCTTTCTTCTGCACCCTATGATCTAGCCAAACTGGCTTTGCTTGCTGTCCTGTGTGCACAACATTCCATCTCTCACCTCCATACTTATGTTCAGACTATCCCCACTTTCTCCTCACCTCCAACTCAAAGACTCTCTAGGTGCTTTTAAGGGCTTCACTCCAATGCCACTTAAATGGTTTGTATGTCTCCAGTTTCTGTCTGTAGCTTAAATATTGCTACCAGATTTTAATATTTTTTTTTGGATTTGTTATTTCACTGGCACAGGGAACTACTGCTGAGGGAATTCCCTCTGTCAGTACTTATTGTTACCTGCTTTGTAACTTGTGGTTTTAGAGAGTTTCCTGGAGGTAATTAGAGGTTAATTGATTTGTTCAGGTTTGCACTGTCAGTATTTGTTAGAGGAGGGATCTGAACTCAGAGAGTTGGGTCTCTATCCAGTATACTATGCTGACTCTTCCTTTAACCACCAGATTCATCTTCCTAAAATATTTACCTTCTAACCTCCCCCACCCCCATCCCACCTCTATTCCCTTGGATTCATAGCCCTAGAGTTGGGTTATAACTAGATTGTTCTACTTTGACTTGCAGAGATAGAGAGGGAAGATTAAGTAACATGCATTTGTGCACTTTCTAGGTGCCTTTTCCTCCATATTTGATGTCACTTTCTGCTGCACCCTGTGTTTATAAGGAAGTGGTAGTTTTGTCCCTGTGTTACTTCAAGAGTTTTTTTCAAGAATGAAATTTTTTCCTCCTGGGAACTCACCATACTATGTCTACCATACATTTCCTGGGCAGTGCTGAAGTTTCCACCAGCTTTGAAAGCATTTCAAAAAGCAGGATTCCCGTAGAATCAACAAGATCCGAGTTGGGGTCAGTTTCTGGGACTGAGGAGAAAAGAAAGACTTCAAAGTGCATTCTTTATTAACCATTTACCTTGAATAATTTCAGCACTTTCATTTAGGAAAGAAATTATTTGCAGTAAACATAGGAGGCAATGAAATTTAGCAGAAAGAGCCCTGGATGCATCTTACTTATTCTTATTGCCCATGTGATCTTGGGCAAATCACTTCCCACCTCTGAATTCCATTTTCCTCCTTTGTAAAATGAAATGGTTGGACTAGGTGATTCTGAGATCCTCTGGAGACTGCTCTGATGTTTTGTGGTTCTGTGATTCTATCTGCAACTGCAACCAAGTGACTCATTCATTAATATGAAAGGAAGTGATTAAAAAGGATCACATTGAGCATTTTCTCTAACTGAAGAGAAATTTCACGTGACCCAGTGAAACCATACTGTTTTATAAAATATCTTTAATAAAACATCTTTTAATTTAATTTACATCTTTAATGATATTTAATATAAAACATCAATGCAGAATGAAGGCAAACTAGGAGAATGATATACACAATGACTTAAAAACTGTAAATAAAAACCACATAAAAAGGCAATTAAACTCAGAATAAGTGCAGTGACCATTACTGAATCCAGAGGCCATATGATTGACTACAAGTGCTGAATGTGGCATAGGAGGATAAATTCAGATGTTTTATTGATTGGGTTTGCTTGACTGTTATTCTTTGTTATAAAGGACAGTTCAGAAAGGTCATGGGTAAAAGGGAAGTGGTCATTATGTGAAAAAACATAAATGGCATCAGTAACACTTTTTAAAAAAAAACATACAGTTCTATCACTGTCTCCAATTTCCAGGTAAATATTGATACTGACAAGGACAGAGAAGACAGACACTAAACTACATATCTCAAGGAATGTCATATTGCTTCAACAAAAAGAAGAATCATTTGTGATTAATGTGTCCAAGTGTCTGTTGTTGGAGTGTAAATGATGCTGTTAAAATAGTACGTGAAATGTTTCCTGTTTATACTGCAGGCAGACCCCATATTCTGAATAAGTTAGGTTACAAGATTCCTTCATTTTCAGATGTGTTCATTTGTAGGTCACCAGTTTGGAAAAGGGACACTCATTATCTTAGAAAGAACCTCAGACTTATTTTTAGGTTCCCAGGTTATCAGCCCCTAAAAGCCTATTTGACTTAAAAGGTATTTGTGGTACCAACAGAACTATTTCAACTACACTTAACCAACCATTTAAACTAAACCTTCTTTCAACTGTGGAAAAATTAATTTCTCTGAGAACATGTTGGAATGGGGGTGGAGAAGGATTGGTCTTAACAGTTGCTGTAGCATCAGTTTGGGAGGTGTATAATTTTCTATCCTCCACATTTGCAAAAGAGAAAGCTTTGCTCTTTTTTTGGGGGGGGGGCAATCAGCATAAGAGAAGACACTTCTTCAGGTCAAATAATACCAAGGGACAGTTGCCTAACTCAGGTACTAGGGTTTGGGGCTGCAGACTCACACTTCTCCAATACTAATGATGAGAAAGTCAGTTGGATGACTCATACTTAACTTAATTTGCATAGCAAATTGTTTTGTAGATACCATTGCAACGGGCAAAAGTATCCCAGCCCAGACTATGATTCTAAATGAATCTCAGTACAATTTTAGTGTCTATTGTCAGCTGTCATTGGTTTAATAGCACTTTCACTCACCAACAGCCTGGATAAAGCGATCATCATCTGTTAAAACAGTGAGAAAGTCTGAAAAATTCAGCTTTCCATCTCCTGCAATAGAAATCTGGGGATTAGCAAAAGCATACAAAGAATTTTAAACTCAACAGTACGATTAGCTGTTTTTTGAGTATTAGACTTGGACTCAGCTGAGTTTTTTGGTCTCAGCTCTTATCATGTATGGCATCATGGTACACTGAGTGCACAGAGTACTCAGAGTGTTGAGCCAGGAGTCAGGAAGAAACTGAGTTCAAATATGGCCTCAGGCACTTTGTAGCAAGGTGTGACCTTGAGCAAATCACTTAACCCCTGTTTGCCTCAGTTTCCTCAATTCTAAAAAGAGAATAATAATTGCACCTACCCTTCCAGTGTCCTTGGGAGGATCAAATGAAATAATAAAGTGCTTAGTACAGTTCTGGCACGTAGCAGGTACTTAATAAATGAACATTTCCTCCCTCTCTTCCTTCTTTCCTTGGATAAATTCCTTAATCCTTGTCTCAGTTTCTCTCCTTTTTTTAATGATAATTTATATTTTAATCAGCCAAATATACAAAGTTTAATTTCTTGAGCGTGTTTTGCCTAGGCCTTTAACAATAAATGAAGGTTTTTCTTTGAACAGAAGATATGGTTAAAAATGGACACTAGACCTAGTGGGAGGGGAGGAAAAAAATGAGAAGAGAGGGATGGAATGAATAAGGCTACCCCTCCAAGAACACACATGAGAATGGGCTCCCAGACATTTAATACTACACTCAGACTGCAGAAATTTCATGAGAAAATGTGCAGATGAGTGCTCTGTCAATCCAGACCCAGGATTTTCATTAAGATCTTTCTATGGGTCACCCCACCCCACCCAAACCTACATACCCCATGTAATCTACAGGTCGAAGCTTTTCCTACCCTCCCCTATCTCACCATCCCCTTCCCCCTGCTATGTGTTCTGAATCCTAAAAGCAGCGAGAATATCCAGACTTTTCAAACTGTTACACAAAGAAATACTTTTCTGCATTACTTCTGCTCCAAAGATAGCAGCTGCCCCCCTCCCCTGCCCCAAAATGGAATTCTGTGCCGAGATGATGAGGATCCACGCCCTCTGTGGCTCCACAAGGAGGAGAGGGATGCCACAATATACTCCAGGTGGCACTAGTGTGGATGCAATACCACAGAAGTCCTGGCAGGCCCTGGGCACACTTCCCTGGCATTTCCTCCTCCCACATGCATTGTGTTTATTTATTCAGAGAGAGCTACTGCATTCGTTTTCCTGACACAGTTGCATCACCTTTTGCTTTCCTTTCTTCTTCCTTCTTTCTGGCTGTTTCTTCCCTCTGTTTCCAGATGGCGGCTAGCCGGGCCAGATCTGCTTTGGCTTCTTCTGTTTCATCAGCTAAATGCATTTTCATGTATCATCCTTTTGCTCTGTATTCTATTTCTTCCCATTCTCTTCTGGATAGCTCCTTTGGCCCATCCAGATCCAGCTGAGTGACTTTTTTGGTTGTCTGGCCTATTGGGTTGGGATTCTCTATGTCTATTAACCCTTCCACTCCTTTGTGCTTTTGCTGGTAGTCATCATCATCTTCATCACCTTCATCTGAACCTAAGCATTTCTTTTCCTTTTTGGGGTCACCAGCTGCCCCATCACCAAGTTCTTCACTTTCTTCTTCTTCTTCCTGTGCCTTCTGTTTTTCAGCTTGAAGCTGGGCATCAATCTCTTTGGGGCTTGTGTATTGCCTCGCTCGGCCTCGTGGCCTCCTTTTCTTCTCCTTTGGGCACCGAGGCTGCCGTGGCTGCTGCAAGAACTCGAAGGGGCGCCGGAACCGGAACCGGAACCGGAACTCGCCTCTTCCCCCCCTCCTCCCCGCTTCTGTCTCCAGCCTACCCCAGAGCTGAAAGAAGGACCCTCGCTGGCTCAAGCCATGCTCCTCAGTTTCTCATTTGTAAAATTTAACAGAGATGAATTCCTGTATTTATCTTTTAAAATGTACAGGTATAGGATTGGGGGAGATATAGCAGGACCAGTAAACTGCAAACTCAAATGTGAGTCAACATTGTGACATGGCAGCACGTGGCACACCACTTGGCAGAGGGCAGGTGCTTGTGAAATGTTTGTTGAACTGAAAAAAAAAGGCAACGTGATTTCATGCTGCATTAATAGAGGACTATGATAATTCACATTTATGTGCACTTTAAGGTTTACAAAGCAATTTATGTATATTATCTCATTTGAGCCTCCTAACAATGCTAAGAGGCTGGTGTTATTGTTATTCTCATTTTATAGATGAGGAAAAAGGTTAAAGGAGGATAAGTCACTTGGCCCAGGGTTATAATGTGCTAATGTGCCTGCTTGAATCCAGGTCTTCCTGGCTTCCAAGTCCAATACTCTGTCCATTGTGCTATTTAGCAACTTCCACAGAACTGTCCAGAGAAAGGGAGGTGATATGCTGTATTCTTTTAGTCAGACCTATAGAAATATGTTCGGTTCTAGGGTACTAGGTGGTATAGTAGATAGAGTGCTAGACCTGGAGTCAGGAAGACCTGAGTTCAAATCAAGTCTCAGATACTTATTAGCTGTGTGATCTTAGGGAAGCCACCTAACCTCTGTTTATCTCAGTTTCCTCAACTGTAAAATGGGGATAATAATAGCACTTACCTCCAAGGGGTGTTGTAAGGGTCAAATGAGATTTTTAAAAAAACTTCTGGTACATAGTAGGTGTTATATAAATGCTATTATTATTATTTTAAATATAAATTTATTTATTTTTAATTTTCAATATTCACTTCCACAAGATTTTGAGTTCCAAATTTTCACCCCATCTCACCTCTCCCCCCACCCTAAGATGGCATGCATTCTGAATATCCCTTCCCCTAGTCTGTCCTCTCTTCTATCTCTCTCCCCCCCTTCTCTTATCCCCTTCCCCTTTTTTTCCTGTAGGGCAGGATAGACTTCTGTACCCCATTTCCTGTATTTCTTATTTCCCCGATATTATTATTATTATTAGCCACATTTTAGAAGGAACATTGGCAAACTAGATTATACTCAAAGTAGGATCACCAAGACAGTAAACAGAATAGAAGCCATCTTAAATAAGATAAAGTGAAGAAAATGGGGATGTTTTCAGCCTAGAAAAGAGATGACTTAGGAAGGATATATGACAGCAGTTTTTAAATATTTAAAGTGCTGTCATAGAAGATTAGACTTGTTCTTGTTTGTGTGTGTGTATATCCACATACATAATACATAAATATACATATTTGTAATATATAATATTAGTATATATAATTTTAGAGTACATTTATAATGTACATATATACAAACACACATATGTACACACACAGAGTCAAACTTCTGCTTAAATGTTGGGGAATTTTCCTCACTGGGGGCTCAAAACAAATGTGGTTGAACTCCTGATTTTAATTTGCTATAAACTCCCTGAAGCAGGAGGAGGAGGGAACCAAGTGGAGCTGAGGGGCCATTTTATCGTCCCTAGGCTTGAAATGAGCTTATTATTTTAACCACTACCACCACCATCACTACCACCACTAACTAATTTAGGCACTCAGAGAAGGCAGAGAAACAATTAGAAGCTTTTATCAAGAAGTATAGCTAGAAGTTTAAGTACTTACTGTCAGTATCAGCGAATTCAAGTTCATCCTGGATTTCTTGGTTCGTTAGCTCAATCCCCAATTGAGCTGCAGAGGACTGTAATCCATGTGAATCAATGCAGCCAGTTTCATCCTTCTCAAAGCACTCAAAGGCATCCAGGAATGCTACAGACATGGAATCAATCCAGCAATTAGTTGGACTGGGCATATAATCAAGCAAAAAAGACATCATATGTTTTTAAAGCCAAGGGTCCCAGTTGATATTAATGTAATTAATTGTAATTAATGTAATTAAGCCAGACAATATAACCACAGCTGGTTGGAAAGTATGTTCTGAAATGTTGAAGAAAACCCATTAATAGGAAGAGGACAAAATGTCCTTCCCAGAGATTTGAACTGAATTGTGAACTGAAAAGTGGAATGAGCTGCAATCTCTGGCTAAAAACCAAACTAAACACCAGTTTTGTTTTTTTCTTTTTAAGTAAAGTGAACCAAATGTCCATCCCACTCCCAAATCCCAACCACCATCAAAAGAACTACCTAGATAATTGGTTCAAACTAAAACCAGCCCTATATATTTTTTCAAATTGCATAATGGGAACAATAAGCAGATGATCATATTGTCCAAACCTTCCTGGAAACAGGTGTTTCAGTTACACTCAAGTGTTTATTTAAGCTCAACTTTGATTTAAATTCATGCTTCTGGTTTATAGTCACATTCATATGCCTTAAAGATAATGATGACTTTACATTTAAATGATGTATCGCATTCCTCTTAGAAACATTGCCACTGGGGCAGTGAGGTGATGCAGTGGATAGAGCTCCAGCCTTGGAGTCAGAAGGATCTGAGAGGCAGCAGGGAGTAGCATACAAATTTCTACCACAATTAAGAGCAACAAGCAGAAATCTAGCCCCTAGCCAATATAGACTATGTGAGTGATTCAAATCCATCCTCTTCCCTGTGCCATAAGAGTCAGGAGGTTTGTTTAAACATCCGAACCTTGTGTTTATTTTAACCTTGAAGCAGAAGGCAAGTAATAGTGAAGCTCTAGCCCAGTAGGGGTGAGATGAACTGAGAGAACTGTTGATTTGCACTTATTTTGTACTATTCTCTTATCTAATCTGATTAAACTACTTATCAAGTCTCCAGTCATAGGTCTGTTACATCACTCCCCCCGTTACTGATTTGTCTAAAAACAGGAAAATATTTTATTTTTGACTCTCATTTTTGGGGATGGTTAAACTCTAATTACAACATTACCTTCTAGTTGTCCTTGAGTTAATCGCTCTTTCTGTTTACCATCATGGTCCTGAAGAAAGCCTTGGAAATCTTTACCCCTGTGTTGAAATATGGTGAAAGATTAAAAACAAACTAGAAACTAGAGGATGTCAGTTGCACTTACCATTTTAGTTTATGGGAATGAGAGAAATCATTAAGCATTACTAGTTTTTTCCAGAGTCAGATTATCCAGGTCGGTTGCTTATTGCCTACACAGGATGGGAAGGGAGAGAACAAGACAGGTGCCTGGCCACAGGTTCAACCTTGGCTGCATTCAACCACACCCCCCAACCGATGTTTCCAACTTTAGGGAGGTCCATGTTGTATCAATAACAGAAATAAGAAGGGATAGGAGGCCTTCAAACAGGGGGAAACTTTATTGCCATGACTACGCTGTACATTGTGCTGTCCCTAAAATCACATGATAACTTTGAAAAGTGTAAAAGACTGAGGAACTCAGAGGGAATAATGTCACTAGATGCTGCTGGCAGATGTGGGTAACATCCCTCCCCATTTACCTAAGGGGGAAGTTCGGTACAGTGGAAAGGAGGCCTGATCTAGTGTCAGAGGACAGAAGTTCAAATTCTTACTCTTGTCACTTGATACCTGACCTTGACCATGGGCAAGTCATTTAAGTTAAGTCATTAAGTCACTAGGCCTCAGTTATTCATCTCTAAAATGAGAAGTTGGACTAGATGGTCTCTAAGGTCCCTTCCAGCTCTAAAATGTATCTTAACATGATATTTTAACTAGTAAGGGAAAGGAGTGTCGTCTTCTTGTGAATGTGTTTCTGTGTGATGCTGGTAGTTGTAGCAATCCTATGTGACTCTACTTTAGTAATGATTGTGGCTAGAGAAGAATTGTTGTTTTTATATTCTGACTCTAGTAAGCCTCTAGGAGGTAGGCATAATTAAATATCACTACCAGATCACTCTAGGGGAGAAAATTTTAATTGCTGCATGGTAGAAATGTTACTCTAGGAGGGACACTTTTACAGCTGATCAATATGGTGATACCGTAACAGCATATCTGCTCTCTGGATCTCATATGGCCATATGGATTCCATTATAGTGGCTGAGTAGGCCATATGAATTCTCTTATGGTGGTAGGAACCTACTTTGGTTCAGTTCCATAGATCTTAGAAAATAATGAATGCAGCTAGAATACCACATAGAATATATTCTTGCTTGTCTCAAGAGACTTTTGATAAGTTTAGATGGAGAAAATGTAAGCAAGTCTTGAGATGTCCTCCCCTTAAAACTTTATCAGGGCAGACTCTTATTGCTAAATGTGGAGTAACAAGACAAATGATGAAAATCCCTATGTAGCTAATCAGTACCAGAATATGAACCAAGCCTTGGTCTCTTGACTTCAAATCCAGAGCCCCTTCCTGACACTATCTTAACAATGAATAAAAGTTTCTAGTGGTGCACTTGTGGTGACATAATTGTAACTTGGTATGCTACGTGTGACATCTGCAGTCATGACACTACAATATAATAAGTTCAAATTTGTGCGGTTTTCCTTAAGCCTAGAGGATTACAGTGGGTCACTCCATTAACTATTCAATGGGGGAATATAATATCTGAATTATGCAGATATTACATTTCCCTGAACCTCCTATCAGTAGAAAGCTGCATGTATAGATACCTCCTCTGGCGACCAGAGGGCACCAAGCCTACAACTGTGGCTTTAAGTCCCTGTGCTGGACAATTTAAACCCATACTACTGGGGTCTGGAATTTAGCTAATGTGGTTTGTTGCTCAAACATAAACAAAATAAATTATTCTAGAGTCATCACCCTAAATCATAACTTTTTTCTCTTTCTATGACAACCCACTTTCAGAGAACTCTGCTATTACACATCCGTCCATCCATCCATCCATACACACACACACATAGCATACTGTGGTCTTCATCTGAGAATGGCTGCTCCTCTTTCCTGGAATGCTCTTCCTCCTCACCTTTAACTCTTACTTTCCCTGGCTTTCTTCAATCCTTAGCTCAAGTTTCACTTTCTCAGGGTCCCTGGGGGCTATTGTCTTCTTCCCTCACCTCTTCTCCCCCCCTCCAGATTACCTTATATCTTTTGTGCATATATCTTGTATGTACCTAGTTATTTACATGTTGTCTGCATTTGAATATGAGCTCCTTGAGGTCAGGGACTGCTTTTGCCTTTGTGTCCCTAGCAGTTAATATAGTTCCTGGAACATATTAAATTAAGCACCTATTAAATGCCTGTTGTTCAATTAATATAAAAATTTTCTCTTATAAAAAGGAACCACTGCTGAGATTCTTCACACAGATGCATAGAACTACAGCCTGTTAGATCTGGAAGGCTTCTTAGAAATCATCAGATCAAATCCCCTCATTTACAGATGAGGAAATAGAGCAATGGAGCAGTAATTTGCCCCAAATCACACAGCTAGTTGGTGACAAAGTTAGAAATAGATGGAAGAATGGCTCATAGTCTCTCTCTGGATAGGGGATTAAAGAGTGGTTTTTAATAAAGCTCAATGTGTAATGTCTCTTTGGAGATTTGGTATATCGTATTTTTATGAAGCTTTGGGGTCAGAAGACACTGTAGGAGAGTGGTCTGAATTACATGTCCCATGATGCTTTTGGACCTCCTTGGAGTGGCAAGAGACAAGATAGCTAATGGAAGAGGAGGCAGAAACGGGCACTGGTAAGAAAGTAGAAGAGGGGGAGAGATAGCAGCTTCAAGACATCTTCCCTGAATCTCTCTTTCCTTCCAGTTTGAAGACAATAAGATATTTACTTATAGCAAGCAGTCAAATATTGATAGAGTATAGTGAGTAGAGAGTTGGATTTGGAGTGAGGAATACTTAAGTTCAAATCCAATCTCAGACTCTTACAATTTGTGTGACCTTGGGCAAATCACATAACCTCTCAATGCCTCAGTTTCCTCATTTGTAAAACCATGGAGCTGAACTCAGTGACCTCTAAGATCCTTTGTAACCCTAAATCTATGATTGTCTGATCACCGATAGTAATGTTGTGGAGATACGGATTGTCTGGGAGTGAACATAGCAGAGCCAGATATTATGAGCATTAAAAGTTTTTACAATCATCTCAGAAATGCTGAGAGGGCTTACATACTCCAAGAATCCAAGGTTCTCAACTACTCTCTGTGAGTGAATGAACTATTTCCTCCTCTCACAATGTTGGGAAACCGAGGAATTAATGAAGAGCCACCAAAAGTATCATTTTCTTCTCCCACTGCATAGAAGCATCATGAGGAGTATAAAGAGATCAGAATCCAGCTTCTGAGGAGGGGGCTTCAGGAAGCACATTTAGAATAGAAGTGAAGGTGATGGCAATGTTTTACATGAGCTATTATTGGATGCCTCTCAATGTCATAATTTTATGTTTTAAGTAATTCTTATGTGCTTTGTATGTGTGTGTAAGATGTGAAGTCAAATAATTCAATGACAATTGATCTGGGAAGGAGAAAAATTCAGGGTGATTGGAAGTTCATGAATATTAACTAGAGTAGATTGAAGCTGAGCCATGCTTTGGAAGCTTGGAAGTAGCTAGGGACATAATATGCCTAAAAGCAGCAAAACATAATTTCATTGGACATTTGGTAATCTCATATTGCCATGCTCATAATGAACATTTTCAAAAAGATCAATATGATGATAATTACAGCATAGGCATCTACATTTATTGCAGAGAATGAGGAAGCAGAGCAATGCAGCTAAGAACTCTACCAGATCCTCCAAATTAAATCAACAGATACCTGAATACTAGATATCTTTTATACAAAGATGGGCATAGGAGATGAGAATGAAAAATATATTGGAAAATATGGTTATATAGCAATGATATCCATTCTATTGGTTGATACCTGATTTACCTTCTCCTTGATGTTTGTGATACTAAAACACAAAATTCTTAGACATTAAACTCTAGTGTTTGTGGGATATTTATTTTGCAAAGATATATTTTAGGTAGGAAATAGAACAGGCCAAAGGCTTGTAGACTAGACAGAGCCTCAAGACTATACATTATGAATATTTTTTTAAGAAGAGTGTCAGAGGGGCAGTGAAGTGGTGCAGTGGATAGAGCACTGGCCCTGGATTCAGAGGGCCTGAGTTCAAATGTGGCCTCAGACACATAACACTTACTAGCTGTGTGACCCTGGGCAAGTCACAACCCCATTGCCTAGCCAAAAAAAAAAAAAACCCAAGAAGAAGAGTGTTAGAAAGTTCTGGATATGGCAAGCAGCAAGTGACATCCAAAAAATGAAACTGATTGTATTTTAAGCAATAGGAAGTGATTTGTTATGAATGGAAAAATCATTTCTGAATCAGGTATCTATGCATTCAGAGCATAGACTTATTCAAAGAAAAATAAAAATCTATACTGAGTTAAAAGAACAAAAATGAGAAGATCCAGTAAGCAGTTAGAACTAACATGATCTAGTTAAACTGTTGACACTGAAAAAAGGAAATAGATAAAAGAACAGACAGTGACTCAGGCTGCTGCTATTTCCTAAGGAAGAGTGACAAATATAATTTCTACAGTAAGGAAACCAAGAGAATCCAGAAACCATCTGGGCCAGCTTTAAACATTTGATTTCCTTGTCAGGCAGAGAGATATGGCAGCCAAGGGTAGCATTAGTTTATAATATAAACTTGTTTTCAAAATATTATAGGGGTAGATAATAGAAGATTGTGAGCAATATCACTGCACAAAACAGAGAGAGGTGGTGTAAGAAAACAAAATTTACAGAAATCTTGGCAAGAAACTTTATTATGTAAGATTATCTGAATAGATTTAAGGATGAAATTGGAAGGAGGGAAAGAAACAGATGGAAAATGGAAAAGATCTGTATTATTATAACAAACTGTTCTCTCCATCAATGACAGTGGAATAACCACATTTGGACTGAAGAACTGAAAACACCAGGAAAGAAAACAAAACTTGGCTGAGTAGCAGGATTAGATAAAGTACGCAAAGGAAAGATCCATGGTGGAGATGACAAAATTTTGAGGGCATTGAGGGATCAATTCTTTATCTGAAAGAGGATATT